CGGGCCACTTGAGGGCGCTCTTTGCCCATCCTGGCACTCTCTGAAGCCGTTCCCGAACCCTGGAGGAGGCCTCTGGGGCTGTCTTCGGACGACCTTGCAGGCATCTGGCGCCGCCTTTCGAGCCATGAAGGCATCTTGGGCCCCTCTACCTCCACTGTCTTCGTCGTCGCTGCCTACAGGGTCGGCGGCATCGGCCGCAAGGCCTTCGCAATCTGCGATTTCTGGCGGTAACAGGGCCCGTCGCCAATCCACGCCCCCCTGATCCACGTTTTCGATCGCCTGAAAGAAATCCCCAAGACGATCCAAGAATGCCCCCAATCGCCGGCAGCTCCTCCAGGACGGCCGAAGCGCCCTCGAGACGGCCCAAGACGCCCCCCAAACGCCCCCAGGGACCTCCAGGAGCTCCTCCTCCTCCTCCTCCTCCTCCTCCTCCTCCTCCTCCTCCTCCTCCTCCTCCTCCTCCTCCTCCTCCTCCTCCTCCTCCTCCTCCTCCTCCTCCTCCTCCTCATCGATTTATGTTCACTCCGTTTTCAAAAAGTGCTTGGCGTTCTTACCACCTTCGGTTTCCCGGCGCTCCACGGCGGCCCAAGGGGGCCCCCCAGGTCCACCCAGACGGCCCCCGAGGCTTCCCAGAGGCCCGTAAACAAACAAAGGAGGCCCCCACGCAGCCCCACTGACGGCCTCCAAGGAGGTCCTCGGGACCCCTAAAAAGCCCCCATGCACCGCCCAAAACGGCACCAACAAGCCCCCGAAAGGTGCCCAAGAGGCCCTCAGAAGCAACGCGCCGCGACCACCCGTTACCCAAGGGGTCGGCGGTGCGGCGCTAGCGTTTTCTGCGAAGCGATGATGCAACGTGTTCATTGTATCCACTTGTTGAATAATCCCACCAGCCCTTTGGGCGTGAGTGGTTTAGAGAGCCCGCTCTGTTCTCAACCCTCCTTCCCCTTCGGGGAGGGGTTTACCCCTCCCCCTACCCCCTCCCCCTGGGCCTGGAGAGGTCCCACCGCGGGTGGTCAGGGGAGTCCTTTTCGACTCCTGGGAGGGCGAAAAAACGACACCCCTCACGAGGATTCTGGCCCCGACGGGGGGAGGAAGAAAAAACCCTCTCCTCTTCGAAGCCAAAATCATTGATTTTACTACGGTTTTGGCCCCAGTTTGGCCTTCTGAGGGGGGGCAGCGCTCATTAAAGCTCCCCTCTTCCTTCAAGGCAAAATCATTGATTTTACGAAGGTTTTGGCCTCATTTTGCCCTTCTGAGGGGGCAGCGCTCATGAAAGCTCCCCTCTTCATTGATCGACTTCCTCCAAGATGGCCCCAAGAAGCGCCCAGGAGGCACACTGAGGCCCCAAGATGGCCCCAAGAGGCCCCCAGGAGGCCCCAAGAGGCCTCCAAGAGGCCCCCAAGATGCCCCCAAGAGGCCCCCAAGAGGCCCCAAGAGGCTCCCCCGAGGCACCCAAGACGCTCCTGGAAGCCCCTGGGGCCGCCAAGAGGCCCCCAAGACGCCCCAAACGGCCTCCAAGAGGCTCCCAAGAGGCCCGAAGAGGCTCCCCCAAGGCACCCAAGACGCTCCTAGAAGCCCCTGGGGCCGCCAAGAGGCCCCCAAGACGCCCCAAAAGGGGACGAGGTGCCCGAACGCCTCACGCCACGAGGAGCCCGAACGACTCACACCAGGACGAGGGGCCCGAACGACTCACACCACGAAGAGCCCGAACGACTCACACCAGAAGGAGGGGCCCGAACGACTCACACCAGGACGAGGCGCCCGAACGACTCACACCACGAGGAGCCCGAACGACTCACACCACGACGAGGGCCCCGAACGACTCACACCACGAGGAGCCCGAACGAGTCACACCAGGAGGAGGGGCCCGAACGACTCACACCAGGACGAGGGGCCCGAACAACTCACACCACGAGAAGCCCGAACGACTCACACCAGGACGAAGAGCCCGAACGACTCACACCACGAAGAGCCCGAACGACTCACACCAGGAAGAAGGGCCCGAACGACTCACACCAGGACGAGAAACCCCAAACGACTCAAACCAGGAGGAGCGCTTTCTCTCCCTCCTCCTCCGCCTCGTCCTTCTCCCGCTCCCCCCACAAGGAGGATGTACAAGGAGGCGGGAGGAAGGAGGAACAGGGGAGATATGCGGGGGCAAGCGGACACACGCCTGAAAAACACGACTGTCGGCATGCTTCGCAAGAGTTGCTGTTGTGAGATGGGCTGGTGGGGATACGCGAAGCGTAAAGAATTGCTACATATTGCATGGTGTTACATTATTACATCCCCCGAACCTCCTTTCGAGTCGCACCATTCCGGGGGTGCCAAATTTGAAAGCCGCCATCTCCGGCTCTCAAAACGATATCTATGTGTATATATATATATATATATATATATAATTTGATATCCACGATTTGGGCCTCTGGGGGGACAAGAGGGCCGCAAAATGGCCCAGGATGCCCCCAGGGGCAGCCAAGCCGGCCCCAAGACGGCCCAAGATGGCCCCTCCAGCACTTACGAGGCCGTCAAGACGGCCCAAGGGGGCCCCAAGAGCGCCCACAACAGCGCCCCCGAAGACCAAAAACATTGTTTCACCCATGGTTTCTGACGGATTCAGCGTTCTCACAAAAACCCATGACGGCCAAAGCAGCGGCCAAACTTGCCCCAAGCAGGCCCAAGAAACCCCCAAAAAGGAACCCAATACTGACCGGGAAGGACCAAAAACGGCCCTCGACACAATCCAGGAGGCCCCCAAGACGGCCCGATAGGACCCCAAGAACGCCCCAAGGCGGCCGCGAAAAGCTCCAAAACGACCTCGGGTGGGGCAAAACGGGCTCGAAACCCGCAAAGAAGGCCCGGGATCGACATGGCCCCACGAGGCCCCAAAAAAGCCTTCCGAAAAGCCACGAAGCCTCACTGAAGCGCCCACAAACGCCCTTGCGCATCGCACAGAAAACTTCATCAAACAGCTCCGCAAGCTGGTCCTCCGCGCATGTGCGACGCTTGTCGGGAGGGGGGGGCCGAGGAAGTATCAATGTCACGCTGCCGCGGGGTGCTCGAGGGCGTCATCGGCGTGATACTCGCTGGCTGGGCCCCCACGGCGGCGTGACATTGATACTCTCTCCCCCCCGAGCTTGTACAGGCGGTCAGCCGACCGAACGCCGACATGCTGCCACTAGCTCGACGCACGCGACGAGGTCCAGCGCACCTCTTTCTCTGATGTCCTTCGCTTCGCTGCATCGCTGGGCACAGAGTGGTCCCCAAGACGGCTCTACAAGGATCCACACGACCTTACCGCGCCCGAAGACGCCCTGGGGCGTTCGCCAAAGTCAGGCAAGTCTCATGAAGTCGCGCCCTGGCCCGCCCGACCAGAGTCCCCCTACTGCTGGAGACATGGTGTCCGAACGGGGTCAGAGGATCGCGCCACATCGCACGGCATCGCAGGAGCTGCGCTCAGGCCGGGCGTCCCCCCGAAGGCGGCTTTCGATCCCAAAGATATCCCGCACTAGTCAGAAAATACCCCCCCCCAAAAAAAAAACAGTTTCCCATATTTTCTGGGTCTCTGTCTGCCCCCTCACTTCCCATATTTTCCCATATTTTCTGGGGGATCGACGATGACTTGTGTCTGTGTGTTTTTTCCCCTCCTGAGACAGGCCCAAAACTTCAAAGCTGCGCCGCAGGCGACGCGGCGCCGCCCGCCGGCTCGGCACCGCGGCACGGCACGGGAGGCTCCCCGGCGCCGGAGCGGCGCCCCCCCGCTGGGGCGCCAGGGCCCCGAGGGCGGCCCCCCGCAGGCCCCACGGGCGCGGCGCGGGGCCGGGCACCGCACCTCGCCGCACCCGTTGGCGGGCCCGTCTGCTGCCACCAGCACCACAAGAGTTGGAGGGGGAGGAGGTCCTCCTCCTCCTCCTCCTCCTCCTCCTCCTCCTCCTCCTCCACCTCCTCCACCTCCTCCTGCTCCTCCTTTTCGTGGTCCTCCTCCTCGTCCTCCCTCCTCCCTCCAACTTATGGTGGTGGTGGTGGTGGACAACAGGCCCATCAATCATGGCACCGTGCCGTGGCAGAGCACCGCTGGGCAGCAGGATCGCGAGGTTCATGTTGCTCCCATCGCACTTGAGGGCCGCATCCCAGAAATAATCTCGAGCGCCCAGAAAAGTGTCGAAACAGTGTCGAACGAGTATCGCCTCCCGGGGCCCGATACGTGAAAACCCTGCGACCTCGGTACTTTCCTGGTGCTCGAGATTCCTTCTGGTGATCGAGACTAAAGTAGGTTGGTACATCAGAACACGAGGCGTCGCTCCCCGTCTGGCAGGTCCGCGCCGGATCGGATCGCGAAATCGGATCGGTTCGAGAGCGGATCGAGTCGCCAGCGAATCGTCCCAGATCGGATCAGCATCGAAAAGCCGCGCCCCGCTTCCAGCTGGCCCTGGCCTATGCCAGTGAATAGAACTGGATCGCATCGAATCGGAATCGCGGCCCCAGCCAGCGAATCGAATCGCATCGAATCGGATCGTAGGCGGCCCTGTCTGGCCCCCTTTGAAAGCTCAAGGCCCTTGCAGCTCTGACTGGCCAAAGAAGGCATGCTCCGATGCTATCGTAGCACGACGTGACTGCGACGCATTTGCTCATCTGATCGGTATTTTCAAACGTCCCAGCAGCCCCAAGACTTGGAAACACGCCAAAAGCAACACAGAAATGACTATGGAAAGCAGTTGCTCCGATATCCTGCTCAGCAGACAGCACACTCGAGACACATGGAATACTGGCTGATTTCAAGCAACACAGATCGTTGATTCTAGGTGCACGGCGGATCGGCCATTGGCAAAGCAGTAGCCTCGGTACAGCTCACTACGTGCAAGGATGCCACAGAATACTCTGCGGCGCTGCCTGTGTGTATCACTCAGACACATGTCCCGCCAGCCTCTCTCCTTTTCCTCCTCCTTCTCCTCCTCCTTCTCATCATCATCCTGGAATGCAATTGAGTGCAAACGGGCAACCTGCACGACCCCTTTGGAATTCGCTTCGACTCTTCTGCCAGCCTGGCAATGATGAACACGAGTGCTTGAGAAACGACTGCTGGCATAACTGACAACCCGTAAATAAAGCGCAGGGCAACAACAAAATTGTGCATTCGTGAAGGGATGGAGGATGACGGAGACGGTGCTATGTCTCCTGGCTCCAAATGAACCCTCCTGATCACTAGCACCCATACCACAAATTTACGCGATGTCAGCATGACTGTGCGAAAGCCATCTCTACACAGGAACTGTCACTACTTCAAACAGGTACGAATGAAACGCACCGTGCAGCAAAGGGCAACGAATCATACGACAAAAACAATGATGCTCGCATCCGCTGGCTCCCTCACCAGGCTGCACGGGCTTGAATTGCATGAGCTGATCTATATACTGCAGCTTGGCAAAATGACCACTGTGCGACAATCACAGGACCACAAAACTGGCGAACGGTTACAAGTAGCCTAGCAACTTCACAAAAGTGGCTTGCGGAGCGTGTTTCCAGGTGTTCCGAGCCCGGCAGAACCCTCTGCGGAAGGATCTTTCTATCACCCTCAAAAAACGGTCTCTCCGCTTATAGTTTCCCATGGGCCTGGAATTATTCGACGCGGGAATCCCCACCTATGCATGAACTCGCCTTGCGCTGTCTTCCAACTGGGCCCGTGTTTTTTGACCCAGAAGCCAATACAAACCCGATCAGACAGCAATGGCAATGTACACGCATACAAAGTGTAGATCTAACAAAGCCTAGCTGGGGCGAACAGGAACGACCTCGACGGATCTGGGATGGCCTGGGCTGTGCGGCGCTGTGGCTGGATGCCCCAGGACGGCCCAAGAGGCCTCCAAGACGCCCAAGATGGCCTCCAAGACGGGCAAAATAACCTCCAAGATGCCTCCAAGACGGACAAGATGACCTCCAAGACGGCCAAGATGCCCGCTAAGACGGCCAAGATGGTCCAAGATGGGACCATGAGCCTTCCCAGATGGCCCCAGAGGAATCCAAAAAGTTCTCCAGGAAGGCCCGACGGAACCCAAATCATTGATGTTCCTCAGGTGTTTGAACTATGTTGTCTTTTCCTCCGTTTTGGTGCTCGGACCGCCCAAGACGGCCCGAGGGGTCCCCAAAATCGTCCCGGAGGCCTCCAAGATGGATCCAGAACGGTCCAAGAGGCCCCCAAGCCAGCCCCAAGAGGGTCCCAAGACGGCCCAAGAGGCCTCCAAGACGCCCAAGACGGCCTCCAAGATGCCTCAAGGCGGCCAAGACGAGCTCCAAGACAGCCGAGATGGCCTCCAAGATGGCCAAGATATCCCCAACAGAGCCGAAGATGGCCCAAGATTGTCCCAATCCCACCAGCCCTTCGGGCGTGAGTGGTTTAGAGAGCCCGCTCTGTCCTCAACCCCCCTTCTTCCCCTTCGGGGAGACCCCCTCCCCCTGGGCCTGGAGAGGGCGGGCCGAGTGTACTCAAGGGAGTCTTTTTCGACTCCTGGGAGGGCCAAAAAACGACGACCCTCACAAGGATTCTGGCCCCCAGGGGGGGGGGGAGCTTGGCGCCTCTACTCCTCTTCGAAGCAGAAATCATTGATTTTACTCGGGTTTCGGCCCCATTTTGGACTTCTGAGGGGGCCGCGTTCATCGTCCCGCATAGCAAAATCATTGGTTGTACGAAGGTTTTGGGTTCATTTTCTCCTTCTCAGGGGGCAGCTCTACTTTGCGCTTCTGAGGAGGTCGCAAGAGGCCCCGAGATGGCCCCAAGAGGCCCCCAGGAGGCTCCCAAGAGGCCTCCAAGAGGCCCCCAAGAGGCCCCCAAGAGGCCCCAAGAGGCCCCCAAGAGGCCCCCAAGAGGCACCCAAGAGGCCCCAAGAGGCCCCAAGAGGCCCCGAAGAGGCTCCCAAGAGGCCCCCAAGAGGCCCCCAAGAGGCCCCAAGAGGCTCCAAGAGGTCCCCAAGAGGCCCCACGAGGAGCCCGAACGACTCACACCAGGACGAGGGGCCCCAACGACTCACACCACGAAGAGCCCGAACGACTCACACCACAAGGAGGGCCCCGACCAACTCACACCAGGACGAGGCGCCCGAACTACTCACACCACGAGGAGCCCGAACGACTCACACCACGACGCGGGCCCCCAACGACTCACACCACGACGCGGGCCCCCAACGACTCACACCACGGGAAGCCCGAACGAGTTACACCAGGAGGAGGGGCCCGACCGACTCACACACAAGGACGGGACTCACACCACGAGGAGCCCGAACGACTCACACATAATGAGGGACCCGAAGGAGTCACACAAGGAAGGACGAGGGGCCCCAACGACTCACACCACGAAGAGCCGGAACGACTCACATATCTGCAACGCACACAGACGCGAACTCTCGCATTATCTCTGCAGGCCCTCCCGTGGCACTGCAAACCTGCACGTTTAAGGGAGGGCTTCTTCCTGCTTTGCTTTTTCATTTTCCGTTCTTTGATGGGCAAAGGCGGGGGCACTTCAGCCAGCACGTTGCGTAACGCACGACGCGCCTACTGCGCACGAGCGCGCTAGAGGAACATCGGAGGTTCGTTTTCCAGGCCTGGCGAGGGCCCGATCGACCTCCTCACAAAAAATCGCGAAACCTCTCACCCCCTTGGCAGCGGCGGACAGGGTGCCCTAATTTCGCAAAGGGGGCGAGATCGTGCAAATACAAGCTCGACAGTGGCGCGTGTGTGCGGCAGTCCGCGGCGGCAACCGTACCTGCATGTCCTCGAGCGTTTGCCGCCGCAACGCTGCTGCCACGAGGGCGGGTCCAATGGGGCAAGGAGTGACACATGCATCACAACAACAAGTAGCCGATATAATCTACTCTATGTTTTGGCCCCACTCCGGCGTTCGGAAGGACAGCGCTCCTCTTCCTTCACTGCACAATCATTGATTTTACGCAGGTTTTGGGTTATTATGTCCTTCTCAGGTGCCAGCGCTCGTTCGCGCTTCAGAGGGATCGCACGAGCTCCAAGCTGGCTCCAAGGACTCCCAGGAGGCTCCCAAGAGGCCTCCAACACGCCCCCAAGAGGCTCCCAATAGAACCCACGAGGCCCCCAAGAGGCCCCCAAGAGGCTCCCAAGAAGCGCTCACTTCTGCTTCTGAAGACGTCGTACGAGGCCCCAAGATGGCCCCACCCCGAGAGCCTCCAAGAGGCCCCCAAAAGGCCCACGAGGAGGCCGAACGACTCATCCCAGGACGAGAGGCCCCAACGACTCACACCACGAGGAGCCCGAACGACTCACACACCAGGAGGGGCCCGAGCGACGCACACCAGGACGAGCGGCCCGAACGACTCACACCACGAGGAGCCCGAACGACTCACACGCAAGGGGGCGCCCGCACGACTCACACCAGGACGAGGGGCCGTTGCGTATGAGTCAGAGTGAGCTTTGAGTACGGTTGAATGCGAGCCTCTTCCTCTTCATCCCCCCTCCTCAGCTGCCAGGCCTTCCCCTTGTCAGCCCGCGCTAGCTTTGGAGCTTCCCATATGTGCATATGTTTTAGGATAGTTGGCAGTGGGATATGTAACACGAGCGTTTAGCCACACAAGGCCATAAGTGCATGTCATGTTGGAAGGTAGTGCCACGGTGAGCATTTCTATATGATAGATGTTTGCTCCACGAGCGCGTCCATGTGAGCGGCGAGCACACGCGCGCGAACGAGCCCGTGCAACCACCCCTGGCGGCTCTCTTTAGGGGTGCTGAAACCAGCGCCCCGCCTGAGACATCCTCACAATCTGCTCTCCAAGCGAAGGATGTTGAGCCCAGAAACAGGCGAACCGCCTGAGACATCCCCACAAAATGGCCGCGAACGAGCCCGTGCAAACACCCCTGGCGGCCCCCCTTAAGGGGTGCTGAAACCAGCGCCCCGCCTGAGACATCCTCACAATCTGCTCTCAAGCGAAGGATGCTGAGCCCAGAAACAAGCAAACAGCCTGAGACATCCCCACAAAATGGCCGCGAACGAGCCCGTGCAAACACCCCTGGCGGCTCCCCTTAAGGGTGCTGAAACCAGCGCCCCGCCTGAGACATCCTCACAATCTGCTCTCCAAGCGAAGGATGTTGGCCCAGAAACAAGCAAACCGCCTGAGACATCCCCACAAAATGGCCGCGAACGAGCCCGTGCAACCACCCCTGGCGGCTCCCCTTAGGGGTGCTGAAACCAGCGCCCCGCCTGAGACATCCTCACAATCTGCTCTCCAAGCGAAGGATGTTGAGCCCAGAAACAAGCAAACCGCCTGAGACATCCCCACAAAATGGCCGCGAACGAGCCCGTGCAAACACCCCTGGCGGCTCCCCTTAGGGGTGCTGAAACCAGCGCCCCGCCTGAGACATCCTCACAATCTGCTCTCCAAGCGAAGGATGTTGAGCCCAGAAACAAGCAAACCGCCTGAGACATCCCCACAAAATGGCCGCGAACGAGCCCGTGCAACCACCCCTGGCGGCTCCCCTTAGGGGTGCTGAAACCAGCGCCCCGCCTGAGACATCCTCACAATCTGCTCTCCAAGCGAAGGATGTTGAGCCCAGAAACAAGCAAACCGCCTGAGACATCCCCACAAAATGGCCGCGAACGAGCCCGTGCAAACACCCCTGGCGGCTCCCCTTAGGGGTGCTGAAACCAGCGCCCCGCCTGAGACATCCTCACAATCTGCTCTCCAAGCGAAGGATGTTGAGCCCAGAAACAAGCAAACCGCCTGAGACATCCCCACAAAATGGCCGCGAACGAGCCCGTGCAAACACCCCTGGCGGCTCCCCTTAGGGGTGCTGAAACCAGCGCCCCGCTTGAGACATCCTCCAAATCTGATGTGTGTTGAGTAAGTCTGAGTATGAGTAGGTCTGAGTATGAGTATGCCTGAGTATGAGTAAGTCTGTGTATGAGTAAGTCTGTGTATGAGTAAGTCTGGGTATGAGTAGGTCTGTGTATGAGAAAGTCTGTGTATGTGTACGTCTGGGTATGAGTAAGTCTGAGTATGAGTAATACTGTGTATGAGTAAGTCTGGGT